CCGAGTGACCTCCGCCGTCGCATCGAGGGCGCGTTACCCAAAGCCGTTGTTCTCGAAACATCCCCGGAACGTGATACCTGTTGAACACGCTTGAGCTCCTACAATCTCCACGCATTCACGCAGACTGCTCCACCACGCAGCCTTTACCTCCGAGATGATATTGTTAGAATTGCGCCGTCGCCGTATTCGATTCTTTCGCTTGCAGACATCCCCACAGTCGTGCTGTCCGCTGCTTCGCATTCACTATATCTAACGCTCTCCATTGGGTCTTGCCCTTTAAGCGGCGGCCCCAGATTCGCTGCGACAGGGATCGGTTACTAGACACGCTGTGATCGGTCCAGGTTCCAGGATGAATACGTTACACCAAGTCCTCCGTACTAGCGCTGGCGGATGCCCACTTGCGAACGAACAATTGGCGCCTGCACACAACACCCGCTTCTCATGTCTCTGACAGCCACGAACCGGACCGCGCAACAGGCCCCGTTGGACGTCTTCGGCTGCGCAGTCTCCGAGATGTTGGAAGCCAGCCATCTCTCATGTAGTGCGCTGTTCGTGTAAGAGAATTAATTGAGAGGCGGCAAGTGCGATATCCAGACCGTCGCACCATGGAGTACGACCGGCTTCTATAGCGATGACAAGCCTTTTGAGTGGCATGTGTAAAGTGCAGCCAGCAAGCACATCCACGTGAGGGTGACCGACGGGAGACTAGACCGTTTGGCAAATAGAAGGGCCTCTGCTTAACTTGTTTCTGTAAGTGTTAATATGCAGTAAGTAGCAAATTGCGGGGGACCTCTTGGGAGACACCCGGCTGTGCCTGCCTTGGGCGCGCGTAAGGGGACAAGGGTTTCGCAGCCCTTGACCTTGTTCCGGGTTTATATGAGGAAGCCCACCCACCAGCAGGGCGAGATGTGGTTTTCGCGATTTCTTCAGGTTTCTGAGAGTAGGTCGTCGAGATGCCTACCTATCCTCTTCAACTCACCTGCCTGGGGGTGATCTACGGCACTCCCCTTCTGGCTTCGATATTCGTTATTCTGAGGATATACACACGGCGGAAGCTGAACTTACGATTGAGCTGGGGTATGGCGTTCAACATCTCTTGCGCGAACCGTACTGACCTGCTTGTATAGATGACTGGCTTATCATACTTCCGTTACTGCTTTCCATAGCCCTCATAGGACCTTCTCATCGACGTACGTACTGATGTAAGCGCCGACACTGGCTCTCACTGACCCTGAACAGATGTCAAGATGTGGCATGTTGGCGTGCATATCTGGGAGGTGCCGCCGAACGAGATAGAACCAAACTATGACGAGTACTATGCCGTATGTCTACTCTCACCATGCCACGACGAGATAACTAACAGCAGCAGGTTGTCATGGCGTTCAACCTCTTGAACATCCCCATATTACCACTCGTCAAAGCGTCGATCATCCTTCTCCTCCTTCGGGCCGGTTCCGTTATTGAATGGCTCAAGCGAATACTCTACGCCATCTTGGTCTTCACTGTTGGAAGCGCATTGATACCATGGTTCTTGTACATCTTCATCTGCCCACCTCTAACTGGAAACACTTGGAAGCCGAGGACTTTCGGCAACCTGCATTGCATGGGCAGACATAAAATGGGCGAGATGTTGATTTGGGTCACATGCGCCAACCTACTCACCGATGTTCTGATCCTTCCGATACCTTTCATCATTGTGCGAAGAATGATGAGTGCTCGATTGAGGTCCCGTTTGGTGGTCTTGGTGGTCTTTACTTGCAGTCTCGCGTAAGTCACACTGATCTATTATGCGAGGATAATAGCTGACCTCTCCACAGTGTCACTGCCATCGGCGCGGCAAAAATCTACCTATCATATCGCGACCGCCTCTACACTCTATTCAACCCCGATTGGACCTATCCGATCGACTACTGCATCAACCACATTGAAAACAACGTAGCAATCATCGTAGCCAACATACCGATTCTACGCGGCCTCGTCACACGATGGATCTTCAACTTCCGAACCAAAGCGACGCCTATAGACCGCGAGTTTCGTGGTGATTGGCAACAACAACAGCAACAACAACCGAGGAAATCGGACGCTTCAGACTTCAGCCGCTACACAAGAAAGAATCGTGTGGTACAGAAGATTCTGCCCTGCATCCAGGATGATTTTTCCAGCAGCCTGGCCTCGCGCTCCAAAGGCGACCTCAGCAGTAAGGTGGACTGCCGGCCAGATTTCCCACCTCGAATCTGCACCACAGGGGAACAGCGCTACCAGAAACGAAGTTATTTTCCCCGATCGCGAAGGAATAGCTTGGATCGGTATAGCACGGCCGACTCCTGCGAGAAGGGTGACATATTAGAGACGGTTAGGAGTGTGGGTAGTTTGGGTTCTGCGCCAACGCTCGTGGAGAGTAAAGATGCGTATACGGAGTGGAAAAGCATGGACAGCCCAACGCTGAGCCCCACAGCGAGGTTCTCCACGCAGACGTTATGCCCCATTGCGCCGTTGACGCCGGCGAGGTTGCGGGGGATTGAAGATGATGAGGTTGACGAGGAGATATACCCATACCCGAGAGCATTATGATACCATAGCGAATGAACAATATACGATGAATCTTGATATCTGCAACGTCTCGCTGTGCTCACGTTCAAAACTTAGCTACACATTCTCATCAACAATTCCGCAAAACTGCAAGACACCACAAACCCGACCCGCCCAAACAACGACCCGAAAAACCCTCACCCTCCTCGACCCAACCCCAGACCCCTTCATGTCGGCAGTCACACATCTGGTACGTACCTACCTTTACGCACACCCAAGTCCCGTACGCCCTATCCGAGTGGCGGGTTTCCGTTGTCTCAATTTCAGTAAAGTTACGTTAGCCTGCCACCAGCATCCAACCACACCACGGCGGCGCTCAGGCCCGTTTGTCCGCAGGGGTGCGCATGGCGAGCGATGGATCTGGGGTATAACCGTCCAACCCGTCATGGTGTGGTACTTGCCTTGTCAAGACGCAATCCGAGCCGTTCCTTTGCCGCAGGGGTGGTCGAGTTGCTGATCATGCTGTCTGTGCGTCAGCGTGTCTCGTGTCGTGTCGTGTCGTGTGTTGCGACGTGGGCGAGGGGTGGAAGGTCATCGCGGGTGGCGGGGATGACTGGAATGGATGGCCTGGGTGCGCTGCGATGGACTTGCAATCAGTTCTCGCACTTCTTGTCTACGTGACGAATGTATTCGTGAAATGCGCTGCGCTGAGACTTCTTGATCCCAGGCCTATACAACAAGGTCGTCTCCTTCACATACCCAGATACCCTACAGCCAAGGCAATCCAGACTCCAACGACCCCAGACCCAATTCCCGCATCCCAATCTCCGTTACACAGGATTCGCGGGTCCAATCTAGAGTTTTAGTCCCACCATCCCCTCGCCTTCGCAACGGCGGGAAGCGCATTCGGTTTCTCGTTGCTTATTCCTCATTACCCAGATCGCGCGGAAACCTTACTTGAAGCAGCAACTGTCGTCCGACTGGCAAAGCTATTACGCACCTCCACCCCCATCGAGGCACGGAATCCACAACTGGGGCATCGCCGAGGCCTTGGGCGGAGAAAGAAGAAAAACAAGAGTTGAGTGCCTGGGCGAAATCTCTCAGCAAGCGCGTACTCTCATTTCACGCGTTGTGTTGTGCGATGATGCACGCGACGGAAAGGATCTTGCCTGCGCGTAAGCGAGGGGTACAGTTGTACGAAGGCACAAAGGTAGATGTTTGTATCCTCCAGTCAACGTCGTCCTCGCACCTCCCTCACGCGCACCCAATTCTTCACCCTCGCACCACACACAAACCTACTCGTCTACACCTACCATTCAGACCAGCCATCCCCTTGCCCAGTGTGTGGCAAAAGCCCACCCCTTCCTCGCCCTGTTTCCTTTTCCCCCATCCATCCATCCATCCAGCATCCTCCTCCATTTCCTCCGTAACTCGTGACATTTGCCCACCCGCCCAGCATTAGTACACCCCATTAGTCCAGTCCAGCCCATATCCATGTAATATATCAGATTTTCGTTAGCGCCCGCCCCGGCTCAATATGGATAATCTCCCCTCTTCGGTGCGGAGCGAAGCGGTCGCTCGCGCATCGCCGGCTGGCTGGCGGGGGTACGTGTGATGTGATTTTCAAGAATGGGCGTGAAAGATCTTGTTCGGATGTCATTTGCCTAAATGGATATGCAGGGTTTGGAGGATGTGGTGATCGGTAGGTGATGGTGGGAAGGCTGGAAATGATGGGTAGGGCGGGTTCTTACTCAGCTGTGTTTCTTGAGGTAAGGGCGTATCTGGGAGGTGCACTGTGGAGTGCATGATGAGCGTTTGGGGACGAAGGGGATTTGGGCGTGGCGGAATGGCGTGCGCTCGTGATAGGATGGCTTTTGAATATCGGCTAGGTTTGGTGCTGTGAGTGGTCTCTTGAGTTTTGAAAGGACGTTTAATGCCTTGGACTTTTCGGTTTCCACCAACCATTCTAGCTGCTTCATTGCACCACCAGCCATGTCTCATGATTTCTTTCTGTTGAGTTCACGCCACAGTGTGGGGTTCTTGAGCGAGTGTAGAGTGCCTTGTCATTGAAGGCGTAAATATCTTGCCGTACAGCGTTGCAATGAACGCCATTGAACCTCCCTGTGCAAAGTCTTAGTCTTGCTAGCATACATGTTACCTCCTTCTGGACCCAAGAAGAGGTAATGAGAAGAAAGACGGTACACTCGTAGTAACGTCACCGGCAAATCCGGCACTGAAGACGTAATGGAGAGATTACCATGCGCCATTCGTGGCGCAACATGCAATCCATTTTGATGCAAATATTTTATTGATAGGGTATCCATGCATGAGAAAACATCCATCATCTGACAAGACTTGCCAACCAGCCTCCAAAGATGAGCGGACACAAGAGAAATGAGAAAAGAACGTGACGATCGTGAAAGAGGGCTGCCAAAAGCGAAGGGTGACGCACGGCATCGGCGTCACCGATGCTATATCGATATTAAAGCTAGTATGCCAGCGGCGAAGAAAGCCATAGTAGGGGAGCCAGACATGAGGCTCTGGGCGGCGGAAGCCTCGCCAGCCAGCACTTTGTCGTCATTACGGATGCAGTTTGTCTTGGCTGTAATTTCCGCGGGACAGACTACGCGTTTGAAGTTCGCACTGTGTGACGTTAGTCTATATAATTTGTGTAGCCTGCGGATCGAGATGAGGGCATGTTTACCTAGGGTACGATGCATCCTTGAACCAATCAAAGCGCCATTCGCAACCGGCTCTCAGGTTCTCGGGTAGCTTTTTGCAGTCCTCGGTGGAGCTGACACCCATCATGAGCTCACCGAAGACGCTTTGGTCCACGCCATACTGCTGGGCGCATGCATTTGTCGATGTTGTGTTACCGCCAGGAATCTAGATAGTTCAGCTTTGCTATTATGATGATGAACGTTTATTGAAGGCTTACTGCAAGTGAAAACCGGTTTCGGTCGGTTACATCGTAGGCGGTATTCGAGGCTTGAACAATCATGCTCTTGCCGATCAGAGGCTCACTCGTAAAGTCGAGCTGGTAGCATGCGCAGCACCAGGCGCCCTCTATACCTCCGTGAGTAAGTTCGGGTAGAATAAAGGCACCGGCATAGCCATATGAAACAGTGTCGTTGATGGCCCATGGCTGCTGGCTGGAGCACTGAAACGCGGAACCGCCGTTACAACCAGTGCCGGCAGCATCGTCCGTGGGCTTGTCGTCGGCCGTACACGATTCTACCGGACTCGAGAAATCTGCTTTGCCGTTCCAACCACATGATGGCTTACAGCAGTCCCAGAAACGAGATGTGACGGCCTCTCCAGTATAGTTGAGATGTGCGCATCGTGCAAAGACCGCGAAGAGCTCGACGGCAAGGGCGATATTGCGGAGATGTTGCGGCATCATTGCGGAATGAGTGATCTGAAGTCGAAGTAGAAACCGAATGGCATGGTTTGTTAGCCAGAGTGATCCGCGCGCAGTGCCAGGAAATTGTATTTGAAGGATACTGAAAAAGAGGGGTCCCTTCTTTAGTCCGGCTGCAAGGAGAGATTAAACTGTTTTCGATACTCGAGGCCGAGAACCATCATGCTGTGCACCGTGCAGGGGTGGGCGGAGCTTGGGTACTGAAACGGTACCCGGGGTAGTGGCATCTGAGAGGTCAGAGAGCCGCTGTCACAGTTCCCACACGCTGTCAACCTACCCGATGCCTTGACTTGCATTGTCTGGCCTTATAGATTGCCCCTGTCATTGCCTCGTGGTGCATTTTCCCCACACTCTGCACGCAACGTTGTATCGCTCCCCGCAATTCGGCAATCGCGACATCTGCTCGCAAGGTCGCGTAAATGAATGCCGGGAAGGACGCGACAAAACCGAGGAACTTGTACAGCTGGGTTGCCCGTTGTTGTGCTTTATGCTCGCTCTCGTGTTAGACGAGAAGGTTTGCCCAATGTCTCACGCTCCGCCCTGCCCCCCTTCAGGGCTCATCTCGGCTATTCTCGCGACCGTTCAAAACGAACTTCTCCGCTTCTTGAGCTGCAACCGTTCACACCGCACTGCCGTGTGACGCAACCTTGAAGGCTGATAATACTCCGGGCGCTCGGTTCACGTGGCCTCAAAGAGGTTGAGCACCGTAGCTGAATAGGGAAGCAGATGCACCCGATTGGCCGCAACTTCAATATCGCTACCAGACTAGAGGCCATACTGAAGCACGCAGTAACCGTTTTGCTAGGATGCTTTGAACTTTGTGTAAACAGGTTGCTAGCATCGCTCCGGCTGAATCGACGTCGTCAGCATAGTCACTGGTCATGCGTAATAGCGCGTTTGTCATATAGCAGTCGCCATCGCCAACATCGCTAGACGGTGTTCGCAGTTTCGCGATTAGGAAAGGACCGAAGTACGTGGCATAAGTATGGACCGGATGTTTGGTTGAGAGGGCAAGGCATGAACGTCTTCCATGTCTACTATCTGCCAAGCCACCGATACACGAACTCTGCCCCACCCGGCGTTCGCTCAAGTCTCCAAAGTCCACTCTGCTGAGACAGCAAACGCTCTGGAACTTGGATACGAGTTGCCGCCTGGGCAGCTCTTACACCCCTGGGCTGGATTCCCGGCGATTGCCGTCGAGATGTGCGCGGTGGATTTTGAAATCATTATGTTAATTCACCGCTACTAATACATCGTTAACAAGCGTACATGCTCGTAATACCTCCGTAGTTATGCAAATTGTGCATATGCTCCTCAACGCCGTCAAAATATGCTCGTCACGCGTAGAGTCTCGTGTCTGTTCTCCGTCTCTCATACTCTAGTCGAGCGCCGGGATGCGCTCAATCACTTCTCAGCATGCTCTCCACCAAATCACCCAACGGTCCCCAGAAGTCCTTGCTCCCACTTGCCAGCCCATGCTCGTCTATGAACAGCACATAGTGCTTGAAGCTGGTGTTGAGATGAGGCTCCAGGCCCAACTCGATGATGACGGGGTAGTGGTGGCAGTAGATATGTGCGTAGACGCGGTATAGACGCTTGAACATATTCCTGATGAGCGCTGGAAATGTCTTGGGGAAGGGAACGCCGATGCGCGAGGGAAACATGGACTCGTTGTCGACATTGGACTGTATCCATGCCATGAGGTGTTCGATGTATTCGGGTGCGGGCATCTTGGTAGGCTTCTTGTAATTCTCGGAATCTTGCCAGAGGTACTCAAACCTGTCGATAGTCAGCATTGCGCATATGTGGACTTGGTTCATACTCACTCGTCGGTCGCTTTCATCTCAGGACAGCTTTGTGGCGAGCAGAACTCTGTGATGGAGCCATAGAGCAGGTTGATCTGGTTGTAGAAGTCGACGACTGCGGTCGCGTATCAGCACGAGTCCCCAAATCGGCAGAGATATGCTCCTACCATTGACGGCAAGCCACTCGTCCTTGTCCTCGCCTTCGGGTAGCTTGACAGCCTTCCTTAGACTGCCGCTACCGAGTGTGGCCTCGGCATACTGCTTCAGCTGCCAGCTGCTGGTGCCTCGATTCTTCGACGGCTTGAACGGTGCGCGAGTTCGCGGGTTGCTAGCGCAGAAGTCAGCCTGTGTTCGTAGTATGAATCTCCCATCTCAAGCGAGACTTCTCTCCAGCCTTCTGCCATGAACTCAGATGTCTCTTTCGACCTGGCATATCCCAATAATGTCGCATGGCCTGCACATTGTGGTCTTGTCACTATTGATCCGTGTATTTGCGCAACTCCGGCGCCAGGCTCAGGCGCGACAGGCTAGCGATCAAGGACGCGATTTCGTCTCGTGGGTCGTATATCCTGCAGTAGAAGAGCGGAAAGGGAGACGAACATTGTACTTATAAATCCCGACATATCTACTCTCGATTCGTGCTATCGTATGGACCGGTACTGCGTGCGTGCGTGTGTGCTATCTGCTGTCGCGCATTCCGATGGTTAGCCAAGGCAAACAATACAAGGTAATGGGACTGCGACAAACCTGGTAGCAACAAGAAGTAGAAGGTGAAGGTAAACAACGTGAGCGAGCGACAAGAAGAGGGTAACAGAGAAGGGCAGAGAGTCAATGACGTTGGATGGGCTGGCTTGGGGGAGGGGTGTTTGGACAGGACCCCACAATCAACAATCGCGACCGCCGCAACCACCGGCCTCGATCGCCGCACTAACAACTTGGTCCAGATGTCGCGCCCACCCAATTGGCCCACCCTCAACTTTCATGTCTGCTTTTTCCGTCTGACCGCCTCGAGACATGTTGGAAGAGATGCGAGACGAATTTCCGCTGGCAGCGCATTGTAAAATCTGTCTCTCCTATGCGCGGGCTGGATGTTGTCGCAATGACTTTCGTGAGCGCATCACCGAGATATACCAACGGAGGTAATTCGGAGAAGAAAAGAAGATATCGTAATGTTTTTGGGAGGTCTACTCTAGGTCTATTCTAGGTCTAGGATATACGCTGACAACTTCCACCGCTGATGATTACCGCTCCATACCCACACATCCTGTCAGACCTCACTTGCTGAAGTACGGGTCTTGCTCAAAATAGTCGCCTTTGTCACGACCACGTCCGTTGCGACGACCGTTCTGCGTCTGCGGCCTCGAGTCGGAGCCACCGTCCGTCATGGTCTCAAACTCATCCGGTTCGTAGTCCTGCATGCCCGTCTTGATGCGCTGAAGTTGACCAGCTACGTAATGGTGGAGACGATCCTCCATTGCCGACTTCTGGTCAAGGGCAGCTTGGTCCAGTACACCGACCGAGTTCTTGCGTTTGATCGGGCTTGTAGCGTCCTCCTCTTCGCCGTTGGTTGAGGTCTCTCCCCAGTCACTTCGGAAGCCTATGCTACGGCTAGTAGAAGATCGGCGGAGTGTCTGGCGCTTCGCTGGTTTGCCTGTCGTGGTGAACACATCGTCGAAGTAATGGTCGGCAGCGCCTGTAGGTGTGCGCGGCGTTTGTGGCAGACGGCACGTCATGCTGCACGTCGTTAGTGAAGGTACTATACGTAATGTCGTTGAGCTTACCCAGTGTCGTGAATCATCTTCGCAATCAGACCGGTCCAGCCGCACTGATGCGTCGCTCCCAAGCCACGGCCGGTATCACCATCGAAGAACTCGTGGTACCACATGTAATCTTTCCAGTTCGGGTCAAAGTCGAGCATTTGGTTGCCGTCGTTGATGGCCCTTCTACCGTCATCTCCGCGAGCAAACAAATGCTGAAGACGATGTTGAATCTCCTCTGCAACGTGGCCGAGATGCATGTAGTCACCCGACCCCGTAGGGCACTCAACCTTGAGATCGTTGCCATAGTAGAGATGGAACCTCTGGCAAGACTCGATGAGTAGGAAGTTGACGGCTAACCAGATGGGACCTCGCCAGTTGCTGTTGCCACCAAAGAGACCGCTGTCTGAGTCACCGGGAAGGTAAGCTACCTCATACTTCTGACCATTGACGTCCATGCTATAGGGATGATCCTTGTGGTATTTCGAAAGCGATCGGATGCCGTGGTCGGCGAAGAACTCATCCTCGTCCAACATTCTCTTCATTATCCGCTTCAGTCGGTCTTCGTTGACAAGTGACAGAAGCAAGCGGTCGCCCTTACCACGTTTGGAGAGCGTATGGATGTTGCGCTTCGAAGTTTCGGGACGGTGAGCAATGAACCATTCCACTCGCTTCTTGAAGCTGGGCAGGCGGTTGATAACCTCCGGCTCTAGCGTCATAGTCGAGTACAGAGGAATGAGACCGACCAGAGAACGGACGGGCATCTGATGGCTCCATGGACCACCCCAAGAGATGGCATCATAGTAGAACCCGTCCTCCTCGTTCCACAGCGGCTTCGACTCGCCGTCGCTGCGGAATTGCATAGCGTCGCTGATCATCAAAAAGTGCTCGAAGAACTTGGAGGCCATGTCTTCGTAGATGCGTCGTCGCTTGGCGAGCTCAAGGCAGATGTTCAGCATGTTCAGACAGTAGAAGCCCATCCAGCCAGTACTGTCGGCCTGCTCCAGGGTACCGCCGGTCGGCAATGGGTCTGAACGGTTGAAGAGACCAATGTTGTCGAGACCGAGGAAACCACCTTCGAAGATGTTCTTTCCGTCAGCGTCTTTTCGGTTGACCCACCACGTAAAGTTCAGCAACAGTTTCTGGAATACGCGCTCGAGGCAATCAAAGTCCTCACGTCCGTACATCTTGCGCTCAATCTTGAAGACCCGGAATAGCGACCAGGCATGTACCGGAGGGTTCACGTCGCCAAAGTTCCATTCGTATGCCGGTAGCTGCCCGTTCGGGTGCATGTACCACTCACGTGTGAAAAGGTCGAGCTGCTTCTTGGCGAAGTCGGGGTCGATCATGGCGAGTGTGATACAGTGGAAAGCACTGTCCCATGCGGCGAAGAAGGGGTATTCCCAAGAGTCGGGCATGGACAAAATATCGTCCAGGTACATGTGCTTCCACTCCTTGTTGCGTATAGCCTTGCGACCGGGTGGTGGAGGAGGCATGCCAGGGTCGCCGTTAGCCCACTGGTCCCAGATGAAGTGGTAGTATTGCTTGCACCACATCATGCCGGAGAATGCCTGACGCTGGATGTTGCGCAAATCGTCAGCGATTGGGAGAGGGCTGATTCTGTAGTAAAATTCGTCGGCTTCGGCGCGACGCTGTTCTATAATGTCGTCAAACATCTCCTCGTCAAGGAATCCGTCGTTTCTCTTTGAGAGCCTGAAGCGGACTACAGCGCACTCGCCAGGTGGGACACCGTCGCCTTCGTCGAACGCGTACCAAGCACCGCACTTGGTACCAGTGTTCTCAGGATTGACAGCATCCTTCTGCTCGTCCACGATGCGGCGATGGATAGCGTCCTTGACATATGGAACCTTGTTCTCCACGTTCCACAGCCCCTTGTAGTTGGTGTCGTTATCGGTGAAGAGAAGCTCGGGCTGTACGTCTTCGCCGCTCGGGCCGGTGCCAGGGGACGGGGAGAGCTGGAAGTAGCGGTCACCCAGCTTGTGGTGTTTCGACTGCGCCGTTGTTGGGCCAATCTTGGTGATTGAGGGTTTCAGACTCGGGTCCTCGTGGCCCCATGCCCAGGTATTCCTGAACCAACAGTGAGGTACAATGTGCAGCGGCGCCGGTTCTGGGCCACGGTTGTAAGCTGTCACTCGGAAGCACATCTCCTCTGGATCGTCCGCTTCCTTCGCAGTCTCGATGAAAATGTCCCAATACCGGTCATCGTCGAAGATGCCTGTGTCAACGAGGTTGTACTCCTTGTCCAACCGCGTTCGCTTCGCGTTCGTCTCGATGAGTTCTTCGTATGGGAATTTCCGCTGAGGAAGTTTGTACAGGAATTTCATGTACGAGTGCTGCAACTGAATCAGCGGTATTTCTGTAGCGAGCGAAGCCAACATACAGTTGGCGTGTTGTCCAGGTGGAAATGGCACTCCTTGAGCGACTCGCCGTGGTTACCCTGTGGGTTGGATAAACCGAAAAGGCGCTCCTTTAGAAAGTCGCTGCAAGAAAGTCAGCGTGTATCGCAAGAGTGCCACTAGCGCACACATACTCCTTCTCGTTCCAGAAAGCGAAGGCAATGTTCTGGAAGCCGTGTGTATCAGACACACCAGCAATGCCGTCCTCGCCCCAGCGAAAGGCGCGCGACCGCGCCATGTCGTGCGTGAAATCTATGAGGCATTAGAGAAATCGGATGGCACCGAAGGCGAGTACTCACGGCTCCAGGCATCTCCATCAGCGCTGCAGAAGTTTGTTAGTAGCATACCATGGCGTTGACAGCAAGGGTACTCACGAGTAATCTTCGCGGACTGGACACTTATTAGATTGATTGCAACATATTCATGGGAATAGAGACTGACCAGTTGCCCACTGCCTCTCGGCAACGTAGGGGCCCCATCGCTTCCAGTAGGCGGTGCGTTCTCGGTCCTGCTTCAGACGCTTCTCCTCTTCGCAGAGGTACTCTTGATTCTCAATGAGAACCATGGTGACAATGTGTGCCGGAGGGGTGTAGGAGGAGTGTTGACGGCAGACAGCAAGTGAGGTTTGGGCGTTGGCGCGTGCAGCGGCGTCGAAGGAATTATTTCCTGCAGGTAGTATGGAGCAAACAATGGGGTAACTCAGACGATCAAGATAGTGGAGAAGAAGTAGGTGGGGTAATGTATATGAGAGACGCTGATGGCGAGGGAGTCCAATGTTTGGAGGTGGTGTGCATAGAGGAAGAGACAGAAGACGGACGGGATTTTGTCAAGGCGCGTGTCTTGGTGGTGGCTACCACCGACTTTGGACGCAGGAACTCGCGATGCATCATAGGACGGCAACCGTGCAGCGCGGGACTTATCGCGAACGGCTGACCTAAGCCCACTCTAGCCTAACGCCCTCGTCCGCCAGGTTTCAATCCCATGTCCAGCGAGCCGCAAAAAGGCTGGCCAGAAGCTTGGAAATGCCCATGCCCGCCGCTGCAGCAGCGTCGGCTACACGTGTCGCCCATCTGTTGAGCCGCTTTCAAAATCTCTGCGCCAAAGTGTTGAACGCGCTTACTGGGGGCGACGCCAGCCTTGAACAAGCAACCACGATAAAGACGTTAGTCTCCGGCCCTCCCCACCGTGCCATCGCCGATCGGACCTGGCCAGCTTCGGAAGGCCCTTCTGGGGTGTGGAGTGGTGACAGCGGATCCCGGCATGGGGATTCGCATGCCACACGTATCGACTTTGGAGCGTGGTGTCGACCCTGCTTCCGCGGCATGCAGCACAGTTATGTACAAGAGTTGGGATGCATATAGTCGCGTTTCCGAGCCTGCGCGCCAGACGCCAATTCACGTGATGTATCACCGACATCCAACGGGTAGCCCCAAGCAAATTCAACTTGGCTACTCATGTGCGGGAGGTCAATGGTAATGAATGACGTCATCAGCTGCATGTCTTCGGTGCGAAAAGGTCGAGTTTAATATTATGAAACGAATGCACACGAGCCGAGAAGTTCAAGAATACGATACAGCGTCTTACGACTCTCGCAAGGGGGGCTGGGAAGTCGGTGTGGCAGGTCTGGCCGCCCACATGAACTTTGACCGGAATCGATTAGATGTTCCCATTTGAGCAGCGCTCATATCATGCGGCTCAGTCCTACTCCTAACCGCGACATAATAGTTTACTTTCACCTCTGGATCCAACAATGCTACCGAGTGATCATGTTAGTGCACGTATTGACCAGAATTTGTACAGTAGCCGCCCAAGTCATCATCGCTAGTCGTGAATTGCTGATGC